TACCATGCGATTCAAAAAAATACTAGATAGTAGAATGTATTGGCTACCGTATGTGATTCAAAAAAAGCAGAATGATCGCAATCTTCTGCAAAACAAACGCTGTGCTATTTGCTGCTTCGTAACTTATGCTTCTAATTCCTGAGTTTCTTGTATGATGTGCTCTACCGTAAACAAACTTACATGTCCATTGATTGGATTGGCTGAATCACCTCACCGGGTGACCAATCGAGTTTTGACTGTACCGAAAGTGGCGATGGTGAATCACCGCCACTGAACACCGATGCAGAAGATGCTTTGCTGTAAACATGCTAGTACACATGGAACTTTTTAAGGTTGCAGCAAACAACATACTTGCTCGTTTTCGCGACCATTACAATTTCAGACTGTATATAACCCGTGGGACTGTCTGGGCCTCCACGATTTCTCTCTTCACTGTCAAAGTAACGCAACATCTCCTCTTTATCCATGTGAGGATACAGATACCTGCAAATCAACTGCATTACGACCAAAGAAACAAACTAAGATGTTAAACTAATTATGCTTATAATGTCTAGAGAAGATGCGCGAATGATATTCAAATTTGCTTTAGAGAAGTGAAAAAGAGAAAAGAAGCAAAATCCCATACTGTTGCTAGTCGACGCAACTAATGCAGCTCTAGCTCTAGTCGCCGAACGAAGCGATATACGACCACGTCACAGTAAGCTGTTACTTGTTCTAGCTAAACTTCTATGACACAACAAATCTTACTTTTTGTACTCCAAGAACTAGTCTGCACCGGTCATATCAATTCTCGAAATAAAAACTGAACAAAACTTATAGAACGTATAGCTTCAGAAAGCTGTATAGACTATACAAAAATGACCACCATACTTTATTTCCTTCAGTTGAGGGCAGCTGGCTATACGTTGAGCTAGGGAGAGCTGATCAAGGTCTTTGATCGAGAAGGGTGCAAGGTGAAACGGTACTGAAAGTCCCGATTAGTAGGACAAATTATACAGATGATTAATAACGTTAATGTACCTTTTTGGCCATCATCATCTTCACAAACAAATCCTATGCTCACAGCTCCAGTTTGGGTATCGCTGAAGCGAAGAAGGAACGTGGGATGGCTGGACAGCATCATAGATTGTGATGCGTCTTGTTTAGAGATGAATCCTACCAGCCATCCTAAAAAGCACGTACGAATATTCAGTAGTTCAGTAACATTACAATTCTATGGCATCACCTTCATCCCAAAATTTGAGCAATTTCTGCTTGATGAGCTGCATAATTGAGAAGAACCATTCCCAGAAAGAAAACGATACATCATCGCGAAGGTTTTGCTACAAAATTACTACATTGAATCAAGCTCAACACTACAGCGAAGCGCTGAATCAAAATAAAATGAAACGAATCAAACAGATATACTTGAGATGACAAGGAAAATCGGAAGCCATACCAGGAAAAGCGACTAGCCCATTGATCTGCAGTGTTGTTTCAAAAGTTTGAAAATACGGACTAACATAGACTGTTTCTATAAATCTAAGTGAAACTTTGAGCCCTACCATATATTGCTGGTGCACTTCAATAGCGCAGTCAGACATGGCTTTCGGCAGGCAACACTTTTATCTCTCCTCTCCCTCCATCATCTCCATTTACTTTACTTATGT